GGGGTAAACATCTGTCCTCTGTTTTTCCCAATGTGATTATTAATAGAGCTCCCTTTTGTCTCAAAAGAATTCTTTTTTTGCGAGATAAAACCCCAAGTAAAGCAATCATCACATGGATATTCCCAAACAAACTGATTACTTCCCCTCCCTCATTCCCAAGCCTGCTACAGATTCTCTTATGAGCTCCATCTTGAAAGATGCTCCTCCTTCACCAGCTGCCCGAGAGGCTCTTTCCTGCCGCCCAACTCCATGTCTGAAGCAGTTGCGAAGCCCTGCCTCTGCAGCCCACAGAGGCTCTCTCAAACACATCCTTTCCTCTCCTTCCATTGCTGTTATAGTTTAGATTGGGGTACAGTGGGGGTATCACAAAATCAGAATCCTACCCGTGCCAGGCAGGTAAGTGAACCAAGTGGGGATGAGTATAAACACAGGGGCTCTCTGCCTGTTCTTTGTTTTCAAGCTTTTAATAGAGAGTTGGATTCAGTAAGTATTTTATTTTCTTCTTGATTCTTCAGAAGTTGTTTTTTTTTTTTTTTTTTTTTGCCCAAGAGTTTTGATAAAAGCCATTGACCCTCCGTCTTAGTGACTAGAGTAACAGGCAATAGTAATAGTGGTGATAGTGGTGGGCCAGAGCGTGCTGTTCTTGTCTCCAGGGCCAGTTCCTGCTGCTCAGGCTGGCCAAGTGACTGTCTACCCTACAGGAAGGTGGGCTGCTATAGCCAGATCAAATTTCTCAAAATAAATGGGAAATCAGGATGACTTTAATGTGAAATCTCCCAGTTCATACAGACTGATTTAAAAGTACTACATGGGCTAAATAAAACATCTGCAGCCGCTTTGGGCCTACAGACTATTGGTTTTGAGCCGCCAGTTTCACCTCCTCCTGCCTAGACTACTGCCGTAGTCCTGGGCATTCCACCCTTGATGCTATGATCTCCACACTGCCCCTTGCTTTTTTCTCCAAATTACAGATCTCATCACCCAAGAGCATTCTCCAAAAAAATCTTTGCCATCCGTAGAATAAAGTATACATTCCTTAACATTGCCTTTAATGTCTCTCTCTGACCTGACCCAACTCCTTTCTCCAGCTGTGTCTCCCACTGCCCTGTGCACACCCTGGCTGTACCCTGCACACACAGGACTACTTGCTCTCTCTCCCCTGAACGGTATCAACATTTTTAAAAATTAATAGACTACTTTTAGAACAATTAGATTTTTTGAAATATTGAGCTGGTAATACAGAAAGTTCCCAAATATTTTTCTTCTCCTCACCTCCTTCCCCAGTTTTCTCCTACTATAAATATCTTGTATTTGTATGGTATATTTGTTTCAATTAATGAAGCAATATTTACACACTATTATTAACTAAAGTCCATAGTTTAAAATTCATTTTTTGTTGGCATTACCAATATTTTAATACCCTTAAAATGTTTTTTAATTGTTTTCCCTGCCTGCATACCCTTCCCTCGATTCTGGCAAGATTGTTTTCAAGGCCAAATATGCATATCACTCTTTCTGCAAAGTCTTCTGTGTTTATTTTTGGAATGGGGCTGGAAGGGAGGGAGCAGACAGAACACAGAAAAGAATCAGCATTGTTATCGCATGCCTAGTGTGTGCCTAGTCGTAAATATATTATTTTAAATCTCTCTACAGTCCTATAAGTTAGATATTATCATAGGCCATTTACCTTGGAAAAACAGAGGTTAAGTTGCTCAAAGCCCCACGGCTGATAATTGGTTTACACCTATGCCTGCCCGGCTCTAAAACCCATGCTCTTCCACTTTCCCATAAGGCTGGATTCTTAGCACTAGTCTATCCTTCCTGCCTCCGCTATCAGATGAGCCATCCCCTGGACGAGGAGCACAGTGTGATTGAGCTCTCCGTTCCACTCTAGACACAGCAGTTGGCACCTGCGATAGCTCACCAAACCCAAGGGAATGTATCCTAAAGGAGTGAATGTGGGAAGAGGCACCAAATACCAACATCGTTTTTATTTGGTAGGTGCTTGTTGAATTCCTACAATGCATCAGACTTATCGGCGGGGGAGGTCAAGCATAAAAAGGACACTGATGGCGATGCTGCCATGCAGGTTATATGTCATGACCAGGCAGAGTCAGGAAAGCTATTGATGTTTCATTTGTCCATGATTAGAATGTAAGCTACAGGAAAGCGAGAAACTATCTGATCTCTGCTGCAGTCCCTAGGACAGTGCCTGGTAATGAGTTGTTTAATAAATATTTGTTGACAGTGTTTGGATTCAATTGCCAGTTTTGGACACCTAAAATGACACTAAACTTTGCAGAGTTCTCATGTGTGATCAGTTAATCATCCTTCTTGGTTCTGGCAGCTTTGGTTTCTCTGTGCTTGGTTCAGTACAGGCCTGGGCCTGACTACTTTTTTAGCCTCAGAATTCTTTGGGACCAGAGCTGTAGGAAGGTGGGGAAGGAGTTGCCTTGCCCCTGCCATCCTTTAAGAGCTGATGGACAAACTGCCCTTCTTGGGAGCTGCCTGGAGCTCCTGGGTCTGACCTTGATCAAATCCTAGTTCCAGAGGGCCTGGCCTTATACCTGGACCTCATGCCAAAGGATGGTCTCATTTTTCTTGAACCCAGAACACTAAATGTCTTATGAGGGTGTATTCAAATATTTTTATTAATTTTTTTAAAGAAAAATATCTCAAAAACACTAACCTGTTTCATACATTTGCTTATAAATTTTTTCTTCCTTTCTTCTTCCACTGTCTTCTCTTCTTTCTCTCCTTCCCTGCCCCATTTTTCCTTTGACTGCTCTGATGCTGGCCCTTTAACATGCTTCTTTTCAGCATACTTTTCTCTCCAATTGTCCAATGTAAATAGATCACTCTCCATTCCTGGTGAATAACCAGGATCACAATTGTCTGGTTTGTGCCCAACATGATGGAATTGATGGACTTTTAGGCTGATTTTCATAAACCAGAGCTACCAAGTGTTTCAAAAACAGTCTTGTTTTTGCCAAGTAAGGTGAGCAAATATAAGACTAAGTTTAAACATCCATCAGGTGTTATTTTTGAAGTTTTTGGTTCTAAATGAGAAGCATTTGAAAATCTCACAGGTTTCTTTACAAGTAAATTCCAAAGTCGTGTATTCTGCTGGTGTCTGCTGATTAATTGCGATCCTGTGACACCATGAAAAGCCCTGGTGGTTGGTTTTGTGCAGCTGTAGAGAAAAGTAAAGCAAAGCCCAGTGACTTTGCCAGCTCTTTCAGGACAGTGGGGATTCAGGCTGAGGGAGGTATTTTTTGCCTCTGGCAGTCACCACCTAAGAACAGAAGCTCCAGCCAGACCCATTGCTCCAGACTCCACGACAGGCGGTTTGGGTCCCTGCGGGGGGTGTGGTGAAGGCGCGACATTTGATCTGTTGCTTCTGAAATAACAGATCCATTATTAGAGAAAGCATTTTCAGTCTCCACACTGGGACTTGTGTGCACTCTCCTGTATAGTTACTTCTGTTCAGAAAAAAAATTATTTTGATTCTCTAAACAGAAGGTGCTTGGCATGTATTTGTTGTTGGTGATTGCAGACGTCTGACCCAGTAAAACCTGCCAACTCACCCATTTAGGGTCTGATGACTCTGGATTGATTTTATCTGGCTTTTTCTGTTTCTCATTACCCCCTTCTGTATCTAACTCTCAATTATTTCACTATTGTGAGCCCCTTGTTGACAGGAGAGAAAAGAAAATGTTGAATCTGGTTACATAGAAAGAATCATTCACAGCTCTAGAGGAGGATATAATAGGGAAAGAAAACAGATTTTATTAAAATAGACATTCAGAGTTCTTAGTGTGTTTATCTGTGCTTACTTTGCTGCACCCACCTCTTCCTCTTGATTTAGATAAGGGGGCTGGAGACTGAAGGATTTCTCTGACATGCATTTTCCTCCTAGGCGCTAGCCAAGGTCAAAAGATGTAATTTATGCCCTGTCCTCATTTTTTGTCTGCTATAGATTTGTACTCTCCTTGTGGATGTCATTGCTGAATCCAGTACATACATACATACATACATACATGCATGCATACATGCATACACACAGCTATACATGTGTAAGTGGGGCACATCTGCATTGCTGCGTTCACTCCTAACGTAGAAGGGAAGATCTGCTAAAAAAAAAAAAAAAAAAACCTAGTTGTAAACATCACTGCCCAGTATTTGCTAAGGCAAGAATTAGTTTGGCCTACTTCTTTAGCCAAGACTGTTCTAATGAACCCAGACATGTAAACCAGTTTAGACTCTCAAACAATTTATTTTTCTTTAAATCGAAGACGTTGACTTTAAAAGGTACATTTTGGCTGAGCACGGTGACTCATGCCTATAATCCCAGCACTTTGGGAGGCTGAGGCAGGCAGATCACAAGGTCAGGAGTTTGAGACCAGACTGACCAACATGGTGAAACCCTGTCTGTACTGAAAATTAAAAAATTAGCTGGGTGTGGTGGCTTGCACCTGTAATCCCAGCTACTCAGGAGGCTGAGGCAGGAGAATCACTTGAACCTGGGGGGCTGAGGTTGCAGTGAGCAGGTATCATGCCACTGCACTCCAGCCTGGGTGACAGAGCAACACTCTGTCTCAAAAAAAAAAAAGTAATAAAAAAAAAAATGAAAGGCACATTTTATTTTCACGAGACTGCTAACATAAAGATATTCGCTTTTATTTGCTGAAATCAATGTATAGGTTGTTTATAACTAAGAAACTCTTATAGCAAATGATTGTTGGGCCACAGTCATCAGTTTTGGGTACTGTGTGAGAAGCCTATAGCACAGGTATGGAATAAGGACTTGTTTTGCTCACCACAGCTACATCCTCCAAAACCAACATGGTTTTCTGAAAAGAGACCAGAGCTACGTTCTGCAGGTGTCTATTTTCTGACGGGAATATTTTGAGGAAACCTAAAAGAGAGGAACTGAGCATTTAGGAAAAATACATTTTCACAGCAGGATATTGTATTTTTTTTTTTCTTTTTTGGTTTAGGTTTTTCATTTGTTGCAAGCCTACTCAGACTCCAAACACAGAACGAATTCAGACTTCCAGCACGAACTGACTGACGTCACTCTTTGTACCAAAGCCAAACTCTGGCTGGCTAAGAGGTATGTTAAAATCCCACATGAGCAAGGAGTTATCAGGGGTTAGGAATACATTCGAGAATTGCTGTTTCTAGTTGTGGGGAGTTTTAAAAGTCACTGGCATGAATTTTCTAAACTTATTGGAGTATTTATCCTTTTAGAACTTTGGGTTGTGGTAAAGAAAGAAAAATATTTTCTCGACAATTTTTCTGAAACTGCTAAGTGACTGAGGGGCATGTAATATGGCTTTTTATCTGCCCACCAATCAGCTTGATTTTATTGAAACCTGCTCTGTGCCCAGTCCTGTGTTAGGTTATAAAAATGAACGGCAATAATTGACTAAATAATGTGGTACAAACTCTTAGGTGCCATGACAACTCAGAGATTAGAGATTGCTGTAGGCTTGAGCGGGCACTGAGGAACAGATAGGGTGTGAATAGCAAGAGGGGATAGAAGTGGCCATTCTTAGGTGGGTAGTAGGGTAGCTTGAGCAAACCAGGCAAAAAAGAGTAGAAACATATTTTTCATCCTTGCCATTGTTAGTTTATCCTGGAACTTAGAACATTTACTGTGTGAAAGTGGAAGAAGTAAAAAGAATTTATCCTTTAAGATACAAGGAGTCGTCCCTGTAATGCCACGTTCAAAATCTGTGTTGCAGGACTCTGGTAAGATAATGTTAACAGCAGAGGGCCCTGTAGGTCCTCTGCATGTTCCAGCAGAGTAGCTTCAGAAGAGGCACATGTTACCACCTGTCCTGCCATAGTGCACACATTTGATTAAGAGTCAGTATATTGGCCAGGTGTGGTGGTTCATGTCCTTAATCCCAGCACTTTGGGAGGCTGAGGCAGGAGGATTGCTTGAGCCCAGGAGTTCAAGAACAGCTTGAACAACACAGTGAGACCCCATCTCTACGAAACGACAACCACAGCAAAAATTAGCCAGCTATGTTGGTGCATGCCTATAGTCCCAACTACTTGGGAGGCTAAGGCAGGAGGATGGCTTGGGCCCAGGAGTTTAAAGCTATGGTGAGCTGTGATTGCACCACTATACTCCAGCCTGGGTGACCAGAGCAAGACCTTGTTTCAAAAATAAATAAAATTCTGATGCTTAAAGTTTGAGAAACAAGTTTTTTTTTTTTTTCTTAAGTATGTTGGCTGTCTAAAGTAGAAGCCTCTCTTTTTTATTATTCAAGAACTGTGCTTTTGATCACTGTTGTTGGGCTCCCTACCTTCTATGGCAAATCAAGTAATGGGTTGTGTGAGGCTCTCAAATCAGTTTAATTCAACAGAGCATTGTTGAGCACAGGCTACCTGCCAGCCTTTATAGGGACACAAAAATATAAAAGACCTAGTCCTGGCTTCAGGGACTTCCACGAAGTGAGAAAGATGTATAAATAAATAATTTTCGTCTGGTATATTAAGTGTTACAATGAATGTCTGTAGTAGGTTACAGCAGTAGCCCAGAACAGGGGTGAGGGAGGGCTGACATTGAACCAGCCATCAAGAGTGAACCAGAGTTTAACCAAGTGGCCAAGACATGTAGGGGAATTCCAGGCTTAGGTAATAGCATAGGCAATATGAAATGAAACATTAAGTTTGGAGAACCATAAGGAAGTTAGCCCTCTGGAACCTAAAGTATAAGGCACAAGTGGCAGAGAATGGGACTGAGGAAGGATGGCCAGGCCACAGAGTGAAAGCTCCTGAAAGAAACCTTTTGGTGAAGGAGCCAGTGGTGGATTTCCCAATGTGTGGATGTGTATGTCTTGATGATTGTCCCAGCATTAATCGCTCTGGACAGGGATATTGATGGAGAAATTATCTTGTGTCTGAAATGCCAATAAAGTTATTGGGAGCCTCTCATTTTTAGTGTGTTATCTGTTTTTGCTCCTCTTTTTTTGAGACAGGGTCATGCTTTGTCACCCAGCTTGGAGTGCAGTGGTGCTACCACAGCTCACTGTAGCCTGGACCTTCCGGGGTTCAGGTGATCCTCCTGCCTCAGTCCCCTGAGCAGCTGGGACTACAGGTACATGCTATTTATGCCCAGCTGTTTTTCGTGGGTTTTTTTTGGTAGAGAAGGAGTTTTGCCAGGTTGCCTAGGCTGGTCTCGAACTCTTAGGCTCAGGTGATCCACCTGCCTTGGCCTCCCAAAGTGTTGAGATTACAGGTGTGTGAGCCACTGCACCCAATCTGTTTTCTCCATTTTATTTAGAAAGTAGGAGTTGCCTACCCATAAAGTGTTTCCCCAAGTCTAGTACCATTTGCCTTCTGCATGGCTCTTAGCCTCCCAAAGATACATACCACATCAGTATCCCCAGCTGTTTGCCAGTTAATAGGCCACTTCTTCCTATCTGTTATTTTCGGGGATCAAGAAGTCAGGGCTCTCCAGAAATTATCCTCTGAAACCCTGCTTCTAGCCAAGACTGTCCCAAGTATCCTAACACTCCAGTTTTTAAAGTGCTGTGAGGAAGGAGTTTCTGCACCCTCAGCTTGCTACTTCTTCATGCATCTCATAGAAAGTCATTATCCACTGGCTTCCTGAGTCCATTACCTCTTGTTGGATGGGATGGAGCAGATGGAGTGGCAGACCAGCCATCGAGTGGACCTTCATGTTGGGCGGTGTCTGAAGATGGCTGACAAAGCTGCCGTCAGCTTCCTCTGTAGCTAAGAGGAAGAGAAATCTTCCTGGCCTTTTAAAAGCTGTCCTGTGGCCCCTACTGCTGTTTTACTAATTGGGCTTTCCATTCTCCTTCCCTCTGCTCCCCACCCTACTTCTGATTTTTCTCCATGATTTTCCAGCTCTGGAAGACAAAGGCATGAATCACTGCAATTTACTGGGTTTCCACCTTCCTTGCCCAGAATCTAGGAAAGCCACTTTTTCTGTTTCCAGTACAGTCAACTCTCTATTATCTAAGTGTGAACTTTCCACTTTGTGGGTGGTCTGTAAATGGTTCCTAGCACCAGGCTTCCTTTTGCTCCCCAGCACACTTTTACAAGTATTAATCAGGATGTGTTCAGAGCCTGGAATAGAGCTTGGAAGGAAAACATACTGCCGAAGCACAATGCATTCCAAAGCTATGTATCAGTTTTCCTATATTATCCACATCATTGACAGGAAAAGTTTCAGGTTCCTAAATAGCAAATATAGAACTGGGTATAAGCGATGAAGCCTCAGCATGTCACCTGCCTGCCCTGTCCCTGAGGTCCTCTTGTTCGGGGAGTTGTCTGTCTATACTAGTTAATTCCACGCTCAGATGAACCCCCTCTGGTCCTAGCGGTCCCTTCTCAGAACAGACCCCTGTCTTTATTTTCTCACCTGCCTTTCCCATGAAGATATTACAATGCACAGTATTCCAAATTCAGCTGCTGAAGAGGCTTTTTCATGTCCCTGGTAATTTACACATGAAAGAAGAATAAATGTTCCTTTGAGCCTACTAAGGATTTTCTGTATCTTTTGAATATAAGCTATGAAAAATTAATGTTATTGCAAAGAAAAAAAATGTTGGCTTAAATTTTAACACCAACACCCTTTTCCTTCTATAATTTATTTGATCATTAGCCTGAGTTTGTTCAGTCCCATAAGTACAAAAATGCTAGTGGATATGTATTTGTGCTTTTGTTCTCAAAGAAGGTTTTAAAAAGAATTCATTGGAGCTATTGGATAACCAATTCAGTTTGTAAATTTTGACTCTGAAATTAAGGGCACATAAAATGAAGACTTTTGTCATATATTTGTGTTTTGACTATGCAAGATTAATAGAGATTTATATGAGGTGATTAAGCAATAGCCATGGAGTTGTTAGGGAATTTTTGGTGATGAATGGTCAGCTGGCAACATGGCCTCAGGAAAGGACTGGGCTTCTGCTCTTACAGGCTGCTTTTCATTCCAAGATGTCAAAGCCTTAATGGAAAGCTCATTAATCCTTCAAGTCCTTTCCTTCCCCTTTTCCTCCACCCCTCCCTTCTTGATCCAGTTTACTGTCTCTCTCATGGGTTTAAGGCAGTTCACTACCTGCTGAAAGAAAACAAAACTGACCTAGACCAGAAATGAAATGAGAATAGGGGTCTAATAGGGGTCTGCTGCTGACCTGGAAAGGATGGCAGTGGGTATCATGAAAGAGGAATTTCCTAGTCTGACACTCATGCTAATTAGAAAAAAAAAATTTTTTTTGTTTAAGTTTTTTTTTTTCTTTTTAGAGATGAGGTCTCGCTGTGTTGCCTATGCTGGACTTGAACTCCTGGGCTCAAGCAGTCCTCCCACCACAGTCTCCCAAGTAAGCTGGGATTACAGACATGAGCCCATGGCCTGTTGCCCTTGCTATTTGCAGATTCCAGCTTGGCTGTCCCAGCTGGATTGCTTATTTACTTTGGCTGAAAGTTGTAATTAGAATTATATTAGGCTTAAATTTTTCAGAAATAAATTTGGTTATCTAGTGTCTCCTTCTTTGGTTATAAAAGGAAAAAAATAAGTGTGTTTGTATATGCTTGTATGTTGCATGTGTGTTTCTTTTAGCAAACTTAGTGAACTACATGCTAGTCAGGGCTGGGCCCTGTGGCTCATGCTTGTAATCCCAGCACTTTGGGAGGCCAAGGTGGGTGGATCAGTGAGGCCAGGAGTTTGAGACCACCCTGGCCAAATGGTGAGACCCAAATCTCTACTAAAAATACAAAAAAAATCAGCCAAGTGGTGGCACACACCTATAGTCCCATCTACTCGGGAGGCCAAGGCATGAGAATTGTTTGAACCTGGGAGGCGGAGTGAGCTGAGATTACACCACTGCACTCCAGCCTGCACGACAGAGAGACTCTGTCTCACTAAACAAATGAATGAATGAATGCATGCAGTGGATGTGATGACCAGAAATAAATATGTGCCCTACTAAAATTTTTTTCACCTTTTTTCCCTTCATTGTTGTATGCTATATGCTTATCACAGGAAATTCATCAGGTACAAAATTTGGAAGAGAGTAAAAGTCTGTTCTTACTACAGTCCTTAAATCACTAGTATTGGTTAAGAGTTGTATGTAA